AATTTAATACTCTATCACTCTACAAACATGCCTCCAAAGTAGCTTTCAAGGCACATCTTATGATTCCCAAACTTGCAATGGAGTTTCATGTCTGGAAATGGATCAGATTTGGGGAGCCACTCACCACACTGCAGCCATTCCCAAGAGAAACTGATAGGTGCAATACGGAACATGTCCAAGAGAAGCAATTTTTAGGCAACTGGTCTGGAACAAACTGAACTGGACCTAGTACAAGCGAGACCAGCTAATAAAGCCAAGCACATACTACACAAATAGTCTTCTATCATTTAGTTTATGAAAGCCATTTTTCTCTCTCCTTTGTGGCACTCTAGTTTGGGCATGGGGGAAAACACACTGAACTGGCTAGAGTGTTGAAAGAGGGGCTACATATGTAATACATTGCCAGATAATGTCTTCACTATATCTAGGAATTTCCCAGGGGCACACACTTGTATTCTATATGGGAAAGTCAGTCCTTTCCCGGTAAAAACATCTTCTTAACTCTCAGGCATTGATGGAAAATTGAGCCCTCCAGCTGGAAAAAAATGTCTAAAGCTCTGCAGTATTAACATACTAGAAGGGGTAAAAAAGCTTAGATGTAATTATTGCCAGTAGGTGGTATGCATTAACTACTATTTTCAAACCAGTAGGTTACCCAGCAGCTTTAAAAAAAATAAAGCCTTCAGGAATTGAAGGGGGAAAAAAAAAAAAGTTTAGAAAAGTCACTAACAAATCTTATGCATTTGTTATAAATTGCAATTATAAGGAGACTTTCATGCTGGGAATAATTAGCAATATACCTCAACATTATTGAATATCAATGAAGTTAAGAATGCTATTCACGAAAGAACAATACAGAGGAAGGATGTAGCCAAGTTGTATTTAAAAGGAGACAAGAGCAATTTAACTGCAGAAAAATTGCCAGATACAAATACGATGGGTTCAGTTTGCAGCATTTCTCCAAAACCAAGATCTACACTGAACATTTCTGTCAATTAAAGTACAACAGCCTTTCTCTAAAACTTGCTGGCCATTATTTAAAAGGAAAATGCTTCTCAGCAACCAGATGGTATTACTCTAAGATGGATACCTGGTGAATGAGCATCTCAAGGGCCGCTATCTGCTAGCATCTGCTGATGCTGTAAAGCAGACACATAGGACAAGTACTGAATTAACACAAAAATGTACATTTCACTGTTACACAGTTGGATAAACCAGGTAGCTTGGTCAATCCCTGCTCAGTGCAACAACAAAAATTAGTCTCTTGGATTGTTGATCTTTCTATTAATCATGAAACCCAGGTTGTATTTCCTAAGGATGCCCTAGGAGATACAGTAATTGCTTGCCAAGTTTGTCAATGCTAGTTTCTCAACATGGTCTTGATTTTCATAATACACTGCTAGTTTTACTTAAAGAAAGGGCCAGAAGATATTACTTAAACAAAATTGGGAAAATTTGAACAAAAGAAAATTCCATACAAATATCAAACCTCCAAACCTATAGCAACCTAAACACCCTTGAAAAAAAAAAATCTGACTCTACATTAATTAGATGCCTTGAAAATTTTCTTCCAAATCATCTGAGGAAGAGCTAGGAATTTTAATATGGACCTCCTCAGATCTAAGCTGCTGCCATTATCACTTGTCTGGCATGTCCAAACTACACAAGAAACAAACACAAAGAATTCCTAGCAATAGACCAACTCCTGCATGAGGACAGCAACATTTTTAACAATACAGAAAAGGCAAAAGGTTCAGCACATTTTTCTTCTATGCTTGGAGAGAAGCAGGATGACATACTAGTATCACCACAGGATGATGAACTACGTTCCAGTCCATTAGTAACTATGGAAGCTGTTAAACAACATATACCAGAAATAAACATTCTTAAAATTAGTATATTCATTTAGTCAGTAGTTGAAGAAAAATATGGCAGATGACTTCTCTGGCTTATCTGCAACCAACTCTAATAAGCTCAAAATAAATTTCATATGGATTGCAGAAAGCTAAAAGTCTACCTATACCCTAAAAGGATAAACGAGGTGCAAGCAAAAAATAACAGTGCTTAAAAGCCACATCACTTGCTGAATGTCAACATGGCACAAAGTATTGAGAAAAGGTCAATAAAATAAGTCCTATCTAATTGGCATGAGCTGTACTCTTGGATCAACAAGTCCACGTTGACCTACAAAATAAATTAAAAGTCTGACTTTATTACCTCTTTTATACATCCATATTAAGAGGCATCACAGCATCACAGGGTGCTGAAGGTCTCATGTCCACGCTGTTTAGCCCATGAGTGGAAGAGGTGACTGAGGGGATATTACAGACGAGCTGTACAGTTGAGCTGTATTCACAGCCCGAATATCTCATCACAGCTTGGAACACATTTGCTATGCTCCTGGGCAGCATCTGTGGGTCGCTTCACTCCAAAGGAATCCAGCTCACCAGTTCCAAGGCTTATAAACCAATGCTGACATACAGGTCAGCATCTATAAACCAATGGTCCCTTTCTGACTTTAAACATAATACTATGAAAGTTCTAATATGGTTAATACTAAACAATTATTATAACTGATTTACAAACAACTGCTTTTCTAATTGATTTTAACTGAAATGGAGGTTACTCAACACTACAGAATAAAAGTAAAGGTAAAAAATGCCAGTGACTTTGACCACTTATGCTTTATACATTTTGGTATCAAGAAAATTAGGTGTTTCCTAGTGGACTATAAAGCAATAATTAAATCAAGCAAAAACCATATATGCCATTGTAGAAGGAAAAGTTCCAAATCTATTACCTGATAATGTTACAAGCAAGTTTGGGTTTTTATTTTTTTTTTTTTTGAAAAAAAAAAAAAGGGCATACAAAGGAGAAATGTAATTGTCAACATGTACTTTACATTCAAAGGACTCATTCTAGATGCTGCATGATCAGCTACTCATATTAGCCCTAAAACACAACATTACATAAAACCTGCCAAAATGTTTAATACAATGTAAATGAATACAAGTATTTCCAAAAGGTCAAACACAGGTCGTGCAATAAGAAGAGGTGGAAGGAAAGGGCACAGAACCCTCTTCTCAAGATGGTGGAACTGTGCTTTTACCAGCTTAACTGAGTGCTTGTGTAAAGCAACATCACCTCTGCAGAGGCTAATCTTTCACTGCTTACACGGAAACACAGGAGAACTACAGATTTCCAATGTTTTGACAATGAGGCTATATGCAAGCAAGCCCGTATCCGAATTATTTAGCTTTCAGGACTGCTTTTACAAGTTTTCACTAAGATAATACAATCCTGCTCATTGGGTTTCTCTTCCTACACGAGTCCATATAGTTATTTGCACGTAGTTACAAATTAGCATGAACAGCTTTTCAAATTCCATCTATGAACAGTAGTCTCGTTAATTTGGAAGGCAGCTACAGCTTAAAGCAGTAGTGAATTAAAAACTGGGTTAACTCACCTGTTTAGTATACAGGAGAAGCATATTATTGTAGTAACGCTCAAATTAGAACTAGATAAACACCATTTATCTACATTTCTGCCTAGCACCAGCAGCACTGCAATCATAAATCCAAGCTCTTTATGGTTGTATTATGAGAAAGAGACAGATTACATTCCTGAAAAAGCAAAACAGGCAGCCACTTTTGTTTTAATGCTCTTCAGGAATAAAACTTAAGGACGTACATCCCTACTGCCAACTACAACAATAAACTTCAACTTCACTGATATAGTGTATCCAGACAAAAATAAGTTATTTTGGTAGAAAGCACATTAGGCCATATTATCACAACTATTTATAAAAGCTTTATAGAAACTAAAGAAAAAAATTACAAAAAACGCTTGTTTTAAGAGCAGCATATGAGAGTATGAGGTGTACTGAACTGCTAAAACAAAGCATCTTGCAGGACAGCTTAAAGTATAATATCTTAGAAGAGATAAAAAAGTGAACAGGTCATAAGACATTAACAACACACAGGACATAATTTTAGCTAGTCTCCTCCAAGTTACTGCCTTTGTTTACACACCACTATCAGTGATCTTTCCTTAAAAACCACTGTGGAAGTAGAAAGGACATAATAAGCTTAAGCACAAAGATATCATTAGGAGGTGGTCTTTGAACCATAAGACCACTGCTATCCGAAGGGTTTTGTTGTCTTTCCTAAAAAAAGTAACTCTTGGATGTTCCACAGCAAGAGTAGAGAAACAGTGCTAAGGTCTTAGGACATTAACTAACCGAGTACTTCCACACACTCCCATGGGTGTTTTTTTTGAGGGGGGAAGGGGAAAAAGAGACAGGCTATTTTGCAGGAGTTTTGTTGTTTTAAAAAACTTGGACATTTCCAGAAAGCATTAAACTAATTTGCCTATACTACAAAAGCTAGTGTATGCAAACAAAGCAAAACAATAGTTCCAGACACAATGCATTTGATGTTAAGATTCTATACATTCACCTGTATGCAAAAACGGATCAGTTTTACTACACATTTGTACACAAAGGATTTTTTTGTTTATTTTTGTGAATTTTTTTTTTTTCCTAGATGGTTAGAAAGGCATCCCGGTTTCTGAAGGGACTATGTGACTCAGCACAGAAGGAAAACTTGGTCCTACTGTTTGGACGCGTGATCCAACCTTACTATTGTCTAGAATATAAGTGCAAATTATCACCTTTCAAAAAAAAAAAAAAAAATCGCAACCAACCAACCAAAAACAACAGATAATGCTTCTAATGTCTGGCACTAGCTCTAAACAGTGGTCAGATTAACAAACAAGAAAAAAAGCAATTTTGAAAAAGAGGAAATTCACATCTGTAGAGAATGATGCTTCCTCTAAATAGAGAGGTTGAAACCAATCTGTATGATGGCAATATTCTCATAAACTGAATCTTTTCCATCAGGTTTTCTACCTCATTCAGCAACTACTGACTAGTACAAACCTCCAGATGACTAAAAAAATTCTCTTTCTTTCCACCATCACCAAAACATTACTGCACTCACCTGCAGGGACATCCTGTTTCTCTTCATGTTCTCACTCTTCAACCTTCTATGCATTCCCTACTTGCTCAATCCTGTTTTTCATCCCTTCAAGGAGCCCAGACCTGCACTTGCTCAGTTACTCTCTACAGAGGAGCAACCACCCACTACCCTTCAAGGTTTACCAGAGACTAAGGAGGTAGAACAAAAACAGTAGCCAGCCTTCCTCCTTCCTAGCCATATCTTCATTAACAAATATCTCACCTGCAGTAGGTTAACAATAACTAAGTAGTTCTACAATCCATAGCAGGAAGGAAGAAACAATGACCAATACCTTGGGGTCTTGTAATGGTATAAAATTTGAGGAATAAAAAAGTACTTTCTCCATGCTATTTGAGAAAGCATGGAGAAATCTGCTACACTGAAAATGTGACAGGTTTTTGTAATATGTAAAAAGTAAATATGTAAATATGTTAGGCTGTGCTCACACCTTAGAAGAACCATTAATACTTAGCTACCTTTAAAAATGGCTGTTGTTTCAGCCTGCATATAAAAGGTCAAGCATTAATGAACCCAGAATGTGCGGTATGATATGCATGCATTGTAAAAATTGGCACATGCCTTAAATATGTGCATCTGTCATATGCACTTCACTGTGAGCAAGCACAGACACATTCATGCACATTGCAGCCTCTGGGATGGCTACTCCTCCTTGCAATCAATAACCAACAAAATAAAGATCCAGGGGAACTTATGGAGCAATCCATAGGCATTACAAGGCACAAGGGGTAGAAGCTATTTCACTTTCTGAATGCTAAAACGCTAGTTCTGACTTATACCTTTATTGGAAATATAACATTCTGCTCTGGATTATCTTACTCAGCATAAAACTTCAGCCAAATTTGTTTGCCCTTGATGTACTTGTGAAGGAAGGGAACAGCTTTGGCCTTAACATTAGCAGTGAGCATAAATATTAACTACAGCATATTAATCATGCAAGCAGTTAAAGAACAGATGATGCTATGTGCTGTCTCAGGAGCAAAATCATGGGGTCAGGGTCACATTAGGATACAGACATGACAGGCCAGTATCTGCAGTTCCCCTTACTGAAACGAGACAGTGTCAGTGGCTTTTTAATAATAATAATATTATACTGATTCAGTTCTCCAATCCAAATCCCTGTGTGACTTGGTGAACCTTTGAAAGTACACAGGAAATTGTACAGCCCAGAAAAAAGCCACCTCTTTCAGGTGTGGTTTCTATCATGTTAAACTGATATTGAAATTTTGACCTCTAGCATGAAATGTAAGTGCTTTTCAAAGCTGTATTCAAAGCTGTCGAAAACATTAGATCTTTATCATGACAGAAGTCAAATAAAATGTAAATACAGCTAAAAAAAAAAAAAGGGGGGGGGGATACAAAACTGGTCCTTGCTAACTGATATCTCCTGATATCTGCAAGTGATATCCTAATAATTTAACTGTGCCACCTTCTCTTAGGAAGAAGATATAACAATTTTGATTGTTCAGACCAAAAGCTGACTTTGTACTTCTGGAAGTCAATGAAATATGTTTGACTTGTAAACTAGGCAGATTTGGCCTGGAAGTCACCAAGGAAAAAAAAAAGTGCTCCCAGTATGTCAGCTTGACAGGGTCACTTTGCTTTTCTGACCACAATTCTACTTTAAAACTAACCTTTCAACAGCTGCTCTGTTTCACCCATCAATCCTACTACTGTTGAAAAAGCAATGGAAAAAAAAACATGCATTGACTTGAATGGGACAGAGTGAGCCTCTAGATGGCACTTATAAGTGATGGTCTTATGACACACAAAATAATGACAAAAAATTGCAGTGTAATTTAGGCAGGCGAGAAATAGCCTGGTTCATCCAGCTGAGATCAGTAGAGACCTATATCAATATTTTTAGATGTTATCTTTATCCAAACCACTTATTATAGTATTCACATGAGGTATAAAACTACTTTGATGACAAGTTTGGTGGTTTATTTCCATATGAACCAATTCATGACTTATCTTTATTTCTGTTAATAAAGAAATCAGATATGTAAAACTGGGAAAGAAAATAGCTATTCAGGTAACTTCATAAGTGTAAAGAGACAGAGATAAATGCACGGAAAAGTCAGTGACTGTACCTTTTTTGTCAAAAAAGGAATTTTGCATATATCATTTCTAAACCTTAGGCAATTTCCTAGATTTTCCTTATTCTTTTTAGACTAAAATTTACTTTTGCTACTTGCAATGCATAATAGGCAAAAAACCTGCAGTTGCACTTTTTTTTTTTTTTTCCATTTTCTTCCTGATTTGATCCTTTCCTGCAACATTGGAAGTTCAAAGAAAAATGAATGTGCACCTACGAATGTGCTGGCTATGCACCATCTGTGTTCGGCAGCTATTCCTTGCCAGCTTCTAAGTTAGTTGACATAGTCACAGCACTTGTTCCTTATTAAATTCAGACAATTCCATTCCACTCCCCAGTTATATTGAAAACATTAATTTGACTCCTTTAAATGGAAGCAAAATTGCAATGCACATCTTTAAGGTGCAGAGCCTCTAAGCTTTCCTGTTTCATTGCCCACTGGTAAATGATGGATCCTGAGAGACCAATGGGCTTCAAAAAGAAAGCAAACTTTCAAAAAGGTAATTAATTCTTACACAATTTCCAAATTCAAAAAGTCACTACCTTCCCTGTAACATTCTACCACAAAAATCATCCCTAACATAATGTGCCAAATGGATGCCTTAACTATTTGGTTTATCAGCTCTAGAAAATCCATTCAGGAACCTGCTCTGGTCTCTTTGGTTCCTTTTCCTACATTTCTAGGAACTGTGTAGCTCTGTCAGAGACAAGGAAACTCTTCCCACTGCCCATACTCAGCTGTCCAGGGCAGTTACTGGTTTGTTGTACACTAATTAAAACTCCATGCAGAATCTGAACTAGTTAAAAAAAAATCAAATTAAGGATGAAAAAAACTGGCTGAAACTTGCTATTTACAGGATACAGATACCTGCTGACAAATGTGTTTCTATTATTCTTTCTGCTCCTGCCTCTTGCAGTAGAAGACTCAATAGCTGTGAGCACCTGAAGCATCTATAACAATTCAAGATTCAGATGTTAAATCCTGAGGTACTTTTTCCTCACAGTCATAAACCTCATTAGTGTCTTTGCAATATGCTCTGCAGTGGTATATACCTGAGGCACATTCCTGTTTGTGAATTCCACAATCCTACTGCTACCTTTAATTATTTTTTTACTACTATTATCCTCACTATATGCCTGAGAATAAAATAATTTATAAATTTCTCTTGACAGTCTGTGCACAAGAGCTTCTCATGGCAAAATGAGGTTTCCACAGAATGGCTTGGTAATAAAAGTTACATATTGCCCTCAAGATAAAAAAAAAAAAAAAAGAAGACATAAAACTTTTGGGAGAAGATACTGCATTTTTCATTTTTCATCCCTAAGACAGAATGATGCAAGTTCTCCTATGCTGTACAAAAATAAATAAATAAGGTGTTTTTCAGGGCATTACAGCTCAGTCAGTTTTAATGAAAAAGACTCCTTCCCAGACCTTAGCAATATGACATAGTTCTAAAGGGCCACTATCAAGTCAAATTTGAGTCAAACCAGTTCCTGTAAAATTTCAGACCAAGAAAAATATTCCATCTCTTTTGTTTTAATTCCAATGCCAAAAATTGCTTCTAAGTAACACCAGCCTTGAAATGCTCACTTTCTCTACTGCACCAAGCAAAACAAAACCCCCAGTGAGAACTTGAAAGTAATGCTAACCACACTAGACTGTAATAATTTCCATTGCCCAAACTGAGAAAAATTCAGAATGTACATAAACAGTATAATTATTAATAGTAATTTAGAACAAAAAAGCACTTTAGAATCTGAGTTTTTATCTAGACACAGAACGTAACTACAATAACTACTTGCTACAGTTTTTATCTTCAGTTAACTCCGTATCTCAACCCTTATCTTAGACTTTAAGCATCTTACTCTGATTGAACTATATTTAGTAAAATATTAACTATCATCACATGAAAATATGATACATATAATTAGAAAAGCTGTCTATAAAAATAAAAATCAAATTGGTGTTTCAGAGGGCTTATAAAAAAAACTTACAGTGATAACTGTCAGCTTTCCAAGGGCAGTTCTTTTGAGAGATATTGCAGTGTTCTAGTTAGAGTGACATACTACAATACACAAATAATTCTAATTATACTCTACCCACAAATTCTATTGGACTATTTTAGTGGTACACTATCTTATTAATGTAAGCAAAAGGATTTACAGAGATATAACCCTCACTGGAAAAGAAAACCCGGCTCCTGTCTCAAATTGACTGTTCAAAGATACAGATTTTGTAGAATGTGTCTATAACCAAAAAGTACAGGAGATTTGGATTTGATCAAAGAGGTGGGAGAACTATAGAGAACAAGAAACATGCTCAGCTGCAGTCCCCCTTCATTCCTAAAATGACATAAAGCAACCTCAAGCCCCTCTCTGGAATACTGACAGAGTCGACATTAAACTTGAGTGGCCCCAAACAGAGGCTAAAGTTTTATAGCTCAAAACTAGCATCTTAACTACTGCCCCAAAAGACATTACTTCTATTAAGGATCTACATAACTCACATATTTACTTGAGATAAGAGCATATGTGTGAGCCCTTTATTGCAGAGGGACTAAAACCCTATAAATTCAAACACTAGTTTATCTCACTGTAATTCATTTGAGAGCTTTTGGTAGGATATCCAACACAAGAAGGCTTAAAAAATACCAGCGACCATTAAAAGGAATTTACTTTCACTGTAAAAATAGGTTAGATATCATGTCCTTTTTTTTTTCCCCCTCATTTTATTGCCCGTGGAAACATGTTATCTAATGCTGTGTGGGTATCATCTGCATGAGCGACATATTTCTGCACATTTTGTGCAATCAGTCACAGTTTCTGCAATATTTGCATTCATGACTCTTGTTTCTACATTGTCGGAAATGTAATATAAAACAGAAGTTGATTTGCTGTTATAAT